GAAGGGGAGAAAGGAAGGGGGAAGGAGGGAAAGTTGAAGGGATTGAGAGATAGATAGGTAGATAAACAGATAGAGAGATAGAGAGATAGATGAAGAGAGAGAAAAAGAGAGAGAGAAAGAGAGAGAGAGAGAGAGAGAGAGAGAGAGAGAGAGAGAGAGAGAGAGAGAGAGAGAGAGAGAGAGAGAGAGAGAGAGAGAATGAAAATTATATATATATATATATATATATATATATATATATATATATATATATATATATATATATATGTGTGTGTGTGTGTGTGTGTGTGTGTGTGTGTGTGTGTGTGTGTGTGTGTGTGTGTGTGTGTATGTGTGTGTGTGTGTGTGTGTGTGTGTGTGTGTGTGTATACATGTACAGACATTTTGTTTGATTCATTATCTGTTCTGTTGCGCCAACACAAGGTCAGGACACTAAACCCATCTATGAAGTTGTACAATTTTGTTAGTGATTTTGCTCCCCTTGCGGCAGAACGCGCCGGCCCCGGGGACGTACAACAAAATCGGCAAGCTTCTCGCAGAAAGGCCGGACCTTTTGGTCAGAACGGACCAGGACGGAGTGGAGGCGGTTCTTGGAGGGCACACTGCTTTTATTAAGGTTTGTACGCCGATAAGGATGGGCGAACTGGCACGAGTATGGTGTGCGAAAATGAGAAAAATACATACAAGCATATATATATATGTGTGTGTGTGTGTGTGTGTGTGTGTGTGTATGTATATACAAATTTTAATGTTATTGGAAAAGAGGCTGGTATAAACAGAGCTAAAAACCACTAGGTTAACGAGTTTATAAATGAATTTGATTATTCCTATTTTGTTTTCACCACTTACATCTTCAGGAGAAATCGTGGCTCGACTTTGCAATGGAAGCGGACTACTTGAATACTAAGGAGTGCCGCTTGTCTCTGGTGAACCATTACTTCTTCAGCGCCGGCTACGGGTGGGCCCTGCAGAGCGAGTCGCCCTTCCTCAGGCTCTTCAATGCTGAGTGAGTGAAGTGGGCTGGTTGTCGACGCGGGATTTTCATCCGAAGGTCTTTTATTTATATGATAGGAAATGACACGCATTCACACACACACACACACACACGTGTGTGTGTATGTTTGTTTGTAATAATGATAATAATGATAATAATAATAATAATAATAATAGCCGGTTTATTTAATGGATGGCAATGGCTGCCCTGGAGTCTGTATGTAAGATCACGTGGGCTAGGGCTCTTGTCTTAGGTTTGTGTTCCTGGGAGCCTGGATGACCTTTGACAGGAGTTGTGCTGCCATTAGATCAATTCGTGAGTCCAGGGGGAGGTTTGCCTCCATGAGGAGGTTGAAGACCTTCGTCCACCTTGGGGCACCCAGAATGATCCTGGCAGCTTCATTTTGAACTGTCTCCAATTTGTCTTTCTATTTTTTCTTTGTGGAAATCAGATCAACAGAGGCATAGTCCATAATGGGCTGAACGGCATGTATCTAGAATGCTCTTCGTATTTTGTGTCTGGCTCCTATGTGTCTCCCAGTCATTGCTCTCATGACAGACAGTCTTGCTTTGGTTCGGTCAACCAGGTACTGGACCTCCTTCTGGGAGGAGAGGGTCCAGTCAATCCTTACCCCAAGGTATTGGAAGTCCTGGACCCATTCCAAATCCATTCCCTGGATTATCAGACATGTGCCTTGAACATTATGTCTCAGAGCCATGGCTTTTGATTTGGCTGCAGAGATCTTTAGTCCTGTCCTACAACACTCCTTAGATACAAGGTCCAGACAACACTGGGCTTTATTTAGGCAGTATGGTCCAGTGGAGGTGATTGCAAGATCGTTTGCATAGGAGATGATCTTGCACCCCACTGGGAGGTGTATATTGAGGATACAGAAGGTCGGGAAGCCTTTTCTCTTTTGTTCTGTCCCTAGACGTAGGTGCCTGGGGGAACAGGAACAAAGTCTGGTCGCTTTTTAGCAACCTCTGGCCGCCTCTTTCCTGACAGAGCAAGCCAGACTCCATGCCTCTTGGCACAGATGGGACATTTGGCTGTTGTGCTCTGGCCAGGAGAGCTTGAAATCTATGAAGATGCTGGTGACAGAGGATTTGCGCTTGTCGAGTTGGGCAAGGATGAGCTCGAGGAAGGCAGTGTGTGGTAGAGGAGGAATATATATTGCCAAAGTGCCAAGTGTCAACACTGGGCGCGAGGTCCTGATAGGCCCAGTTGGTGACAGAGCTTTCACACAGCAGACTGGGCATTGGAGTAATGGCAATGGGTCGACTTCGCCGAATGAGGCGGGGGTTGGGATTTTCCCGATCGCGCTGACAAAGGCGGTCTTCCATTGCGATGGGCACTAAGACTGTTGCAGTGAGGCATTAACTATGGAGGCAAGAGGAGTGGCAAGTTCCATTGCGAACTCTTTGATGAGGCGCATGCCCGGGTCAAGAGGAGTGGTGGCTCTATTGATGTGGGTTTCTTCCAGCTTCTGAAGCACCTGAAACTGGC